TATATATACGTATATATATATATGTGTGTGTGTATATATATATATATATATAGAGAGAGAGAGAGAGAGAGAGAGAGCGAGAGAGAGAGAGAGAGAGAGAGAGAGAGCCTGGTTAGTATTTATCTCAATTTTCCTAGCCTAATCTATTCTTTTTACTTCTTCCCTTACTTTTCTTCTTCTACACAACTAAAGCCCAAGAAATACACACACAGTTTTCTTTAGTGGGCCGAGGAAAAGCAGTGGCTTGAATTATCATACTCATTTTTTCTTGTTACATATGGTTTATGCCTTCCTTCTGAGGATGTCACTTCTCGCTACTGTCATATGTCCACAAATGGCATCTACCACACCCTTAATATGCTGCTTCTAATATGATGAGTAGGACTTCAGATGCTTGTTATGCTTGTCAAAATTATGAACAGGCTGCAAGAAAATACCTAAAAGGTTTTCTAAGTCAAGTGCTTAAAGCATCGTGCATGGATTTTTATGGCATCTCAATAGGGTAGTGCTTGGAGTAGCAGGTGTTAAGTAAATGCTAGCAGAGTTGAAAAGCCTTTTGCTTGCTGTTTTACTCTCTTCTGTTTCATATTGTAAAGTTTTATTTTCTCCCTCCTACTTTCTCTCTCTACACACACACTCACATTTACACACACACACACACATTCACTCACACACACACTCACACACATTCACTCACNCAACTTGGGCCAGTGAAGCAACGTCCTCCACAACTAGACTGAAGAACAAAACGACAGCAACTTGTCTGTTCCCCTTCCCCTAATTCCCCAGCGCTGTTCCCATCCCCCAATTCCCCCCAAAAAAAAATTCTTTAAGAAAAAATAAATAAATGACACATACAAATAAAAGTGATGTCACATACACTTAGGTTTCCCAATTACTAGGATTGAATATCATTAATGAGAAAGAAAAGTAATAGAATGACCAATGCAGGCTCCGTGCTGTGGTCTAAACTTAGGCTGAGCCTATACAATGCATAAGAACTAGCTGAAAAGAAAATATTTATTTACTCAGGGCATCTATTTAATCCACATGATGGAAAGAAACTTTTCATTATAGGTCCTATTTACCATTTATATCCTTACTAACCCAGACTTCCTCTTTCTATACCTACATAAATATACACAGAGATCTCATAAAATTTCTGTCAGTTATGTTAAAAAGTTTGTACACTTTTGCATTACCATTGGTATACCAATTCTACAAAGAAAACAGTGTCATTATACTTTTTGCTAGATATAATTAAAAAGATACCACTTTGAAATCTGAATTTTAAATTTTTTAATTGAGGAAAAATTAAAGAAGAAAATGCTCGTGTATGTAAGTATAGAAACCCAAATTTATTGTATAACAATGAAGGTAAAAGAACATTAACTGAATGAACTTAGATATAATTTAAAGATAAAACTCTTCTTACCTTCTCCTCACTCCAAGAATAAGCCATAAACAACAGCACACTGATATGACAATGCCCCAGATCAAAGATATGGTCATCATTTTGCAAATCTAGTGCAAAACTTTTGAAGAGGGGAATCTGATTAGAAAGGAAAAGATGTCACTGAACAGAAACTGCAGCTAGACTTTTTATATATGGTAAGATCTTGCACTTGAGTGACCAAAGCAAACAATTAACTATTTGTTCATCCTATTAGAGAAAGAAAACCGGCCTTGAACTAAGTCCACAGGTATCAGAAGAGGTTCCAAAACAATCAGAGACCTGCAATACTTGATAAGTTGAAGGTCTGTCAAACTTATGTTGACTTAACATTCAGACTTGGGAATGACAGCTAGTATTACAAGTTTAGTATGGTTATAAAAGGAACAAATAAACCTGTTTAGGATAAACATATCAAATAGAGATGTAAAATATAATAATTTAAAGAAAAATAAGCATAAGTTATCATCAAGCTTATGATTTGACCTTGTTACCTTTTTAAGAAGAAATCAACTTACATGGTTTATGAGAGAGACAATGGTCAAGTTCACAGGAAAGAGAACTGGGTGAAATGTTTCTGGGCTTCATGTTTCAGTGCTTTTACAAAATCATAGATATTTTACTATATATAGTAACATATTACTTACCTAACATCCTCAAGAAGTATCCCACATAAATGCATCTTCCAACTAAACAGTTATATGCAAGCATCAAAACTTTATCAACTATTATTTCTAATTGAAAATATGTTCATTAATTTTTCTAATTTGTAAAGTAATACAATTTCATTTCAAATAACTTACAATTAACTAAAATATATCTCAGTAGAAAGTGAAAGTCAACTCACAATTTACCTTCCCTTCTACTCCCCACCCAAAGGTAACCACTGTTAATTGTTTGGTATACGTATATCTTTCCAAACTTTATTTCCATGTACACATATATATTAATTGAGCACTTATTCTGTGCCAAGAACTCTTCAAAGGTATTCTGGTTGCAGACATTAATAAGATGGACAGATTCTCTACTGTATGGGTGCTCTATTTCAGTAGAGAGACAGATAACAAAATATAAAGTATTATGGAAAAAATAAAATAAGGTATAGAGAGCTTTTGGGAGATGAGAGCAACTTTAGGCATGGTGATCAGAAAAGGGCTCTCTGAGGAGGTGATGATCAAGATCTGAATTATAAGAAGAGATGAACCAAGTGAAAAATCAGAAGGAAAATAATTTCAGTAAAAAGGAGCAGCAAATGCAAAGGTCCTGAGTCAAGGATGAATTTGGTATATCTAAGAATCAGGAAGAAGTTAAAGATAGATCAGAGCAGGATGAATGAGGGGAAACTTTGTTAAGATACAAAGACAAAAGGTAGTCAAGAGCTAATTCATATATAGGCACGCAGTGGAGTAGGAAGAGGCAGATTTTGGAGGCCAACAGGTCAAAATACTATTTTTGGACATTTGAAATTTGAGAGGCCTATTTGATATCCAAGGATCAATGCCAAATCGACCGTTGGGTTTAAGAGTCTGAAGCTAGAGAGAAAAGCTAGGGTTGGAAATAGAACTCTCATGTCATCAGTGTTTCGATGGTATTTAAAGCCAAAAGACCTTATAAGATCACTTAGGGAAACAATAAAGACTGAGGAAAAAATAGAGTCCACAACCAGGCTATAGAATATTCCATTTACTGAGGTCAGCAGAGAGTAAGAGGAGAAGAAATGGATAAGAAAGAACCAGGAGGAAAACCAAGAAAATGTGGTGTTTCAGAAAGCAAGAGGAGAATGCATTTGAAAAAAGATGAGTGATTAACTACATCACATGTGACTTTGAGGTCAAGTAAGATAACAAAGAAATGCCCACTGGATTTGACAACACTGGGACAGCTGGTGAGTCACACACATCAACACTCACAAAGATGGAGTTATATTAAAGACCTTTTTCATAGCATGTAAAACAATGAATACGTCGTGAACGTTTCCTGTGACGATACATATTTATGTATTGTATATATGTATATGCTTATATATCTTCATTTTTAATGTGTATATAGTCTTCCATTGACTAGATGTACTATAATTTAGTTTACTGATTCCCTAGCAGTGGACATTTGGTTTGTCCATTTTTGGCTGTAGGATCCATAGGTTTAGTTCATGCTTTTTTGCCTTCTTAAACAGAGAACACAAGTTTTTTTGTAAGTATGATTTATGATCATAATTATTAATATCAATCATTGCATGATAGTACATAGATTTCTGAATCTATTTTGGTTTTTAGGGCTTTGTGCACATTAAAGATATTTAGTCTGAAGTGCTTTTTAAAATTACCATATCTCTTTTCTTTTTTTTTTTTTTTTTCTATATGACTTGTTAGTAGCTAAACATTTGCATGGCTTATCACAGTTAGAGAAATGACCAATCTAATATCCAAACAATTTAACCCTTTAGAGACACCTCGCAAACAAAAAAAAAGAAAACCAAACTAACATGTAAAGGAAAGGGTTCATGGGAACTCCAAGCACTGTTTCTGCAACTCCTGTGAGTCTACAATTATGTCAAAATTCAAAGTATTTCAAAATGGTAAAAAGGAAATACATTCACAACCCCAGGAAAACTTCATTAAGTCTTGTCTTTCTCAACATCTCTCAGAACACCACAGGCTCTTTTAAAATATAGCCTGGTTTGGGCCGGCCGAGTGGCGCATTGGTTAAGAGCTGGCTTGGGACGCCAGAGGGCCCCAGTTCGGATCCCACATATGAGGGCCAGAGACACTGTCCTCTACAGCTAAGATGCTGAACAACAGCTGCTCAACCTGGGGCTGGGCTGCTGTGAGTCGCCGCTGGCGTAGGCTGCATCCCCTGTGGCAGTGGGTTGCCATGGGCTACCGTGTGTAGCCAGCAGCCAGCGTGAACGGCCAGCAGCCCCCGTGAGCGGCTGTCCAGAAGCCGGCGACTGATCTGCTTCACCAGGGAAGAGCNACAGCTAAGATGCTGAACAACAGCTCAACCTGGAGCTGGGCTGCCATGAGTCACCAGCGACGGTGTAGGCTTCAGCCCCTGCTGCAGTGGGCTGCCATAAACTACCATGTGTAGCTGGCAGCCAGCATGAGCGGCCAACAGCTGCCATGAGCCACCGTCCAAAGGATGGTGCCTCAGCCAGGAAGAGCGCAATGATCACAATACCAACATGGGCCAGTGAAGCAACATCCTCCACAACTAGACTGAAAAACAAAAGAACAGCAACTTCTCTGTTCACCTTCCCCCAATTTTCCAGCACTGTTCCCCTTCCCCAATTCCCCAAAAAAATTTTAAAAAAAAAGAATATAAACATTTTTTCCAACATAAACTACTATCCCTCGTGATAAAATAACATAGCACAAAATAAGTATTTTTATTCTCTTACTTCAAAGGTAAGTAGTTTAATTAAAACTAGAAATTATCAGGCTAGAATTAAAACATTTTAAGGGACAAAAAAATTTTTAAATGTATACAACACATAGCAATTTACATAGCTGAATATATGCTCTGGATAATTCTATCTTTTAGAGATTGACATAGACAATATTTCCATACCTTGCCCCCAAATATTATTCAAGCCAATCAGAAGTTAAATAAACTGTGGCTATGTATCTGACTCTATTTGTATTTCTTGCATTTTTGAACCAGTTATTAATAAATGACACATACAGGGCTGGCCGAGTGGCGCGATGGTTAAGAACTGACTTGGGACGCCAGAGGGCCCCAGTTCAGATCCCACATATGAGGGCCAGTGACACTGCCCTCCGCAGCTAAGATGGTGAACAACAGCTCGACCTGGAGCTGGGCTGCTGTGAGTCACTGGCATCAGCGTAGGCTGCAGCCCCTGTGGCAGTGGGTTGCCATGGGCTACCGTGTGTAGCCAGCAGCCAGAGTGAGCAGCCAGCAGCCGCAGTGAGCGGCCGTCCAGAAGCCGGCGACTGATCTGTCTCGCCAGGGAAGAGCGCAATGATGGTGCCAACTTGGGCCAGTGAAGCAACGTCCTCCACAACTAGACTGAAGAA